TAATTTTATGGTATGTTAAGTATACTGAAAGACAAATTTCTTGGCATATAAATTGTATATTTCAATAAAGCTGTTTAAAATACGAGATAACCACCCCACCACAACAGCAAAGGAAACTGAGACCAAAAAAAAAATCAGGTAGGAATTACAAAAAATTGAATTATAAAATTTCAATTATACGAAAGAAAACCAAAGGTGTGGTCAACTACCTACCTGTGATGGCTGTCTTGGTTGTCAACTACATCTGGAAGGAACTAAAACCCAAAAAGGCTGGGTATACCTGTGAGGGGTACTTTTCTTCATTAAATCATTTGAAGTGGGAAGACCCACTTTTAATCTGGATCTCTTGAGGTGGGAAGATCCACCTTCTGCTGGCAGCCTATAGAAAGGAAAAAAAAAAAAGAAGCTTGCTCTCCTCACTCTCACAGACAAGTTCATGTACATCCTCATAAGGCCGGATAAAACTAAAAAGAAAAAACAAACTAAGTTTGGAAGAGCGAGTCAAATGTGGCTCCCTGGTGCAGCTTCCTGGGTAGGTTCAGCAGACACAGCAGCCAGGCACCAATGCCATGCACCAGCACCATCCACGAATGAGCACACTGGAGGCTGGCATAGCATTTGAGATTTGTCTCACATGATCAGAGACCACTGCAGATGCTTAGTAAAGCCAGATTCAGACACAGAAAACCTCTAAAAAGGTACAATATGCTTAAACATGTGCTTAGATCCTGAAGAAAAAAATGGGTATAGACAGTCAAAAAAATAGTTTAAAAATAATAAAGTTCACCTGGTCTTGACTTAATTTTGGTATTTAGTATCTATCCAGAAAATTGTTCATTTCCTTTACATTTTCCAGTTTTGTGGAGTACAAGTTTCTGTAGTATGACCCAATGATTCTCTGGATTTTCTTAGTTTCTGTTGTTATGTCCCCCTTTTCATTTCTGATTTTCCTAATTTGAATGTTCTCTCCCTGCCTTTTGATTAGTTTGGATATCTTGTTGATTTGTTGGTATATTTTGTTGATTTTCTCAAGAAACCAGCTCTTTGTTTCATTGATTCTTTGTTTCTGTTTTATTGATTTCAGGACTCAATTTGATTATTTCCTATTATAATTGTAATTGTAAAGCAAAGGATAAGGAGCCTATAGTACATGATCCTAGAGAAGCTAAGTAACAAGGTGGAACCCTAAGAAAAACATACATAGATCCACTGCAAGGGGGAAATAGACAAGATCACCTGAGAAAATTGGGAGCTTATGGGTGTGGGGAGAAGTGGGGTAGAGGGGGAAGAGGAGGAAAGAAGGGGAGGGGGAGGAGAACTTGAAAGAATAGGATGGTCAAGATGGAGGAAGGACAGAGATGAGAGTATGGAAAGAGCTATTTTGACTGAGGGAGCCATTATGGGGCTAGCAAGAAACCTAGCTCTAGAGAAATTCCCAGAAATCCACAAGGATGACCCCAGCTAAGACCCTAAGCAACAGAGAAGAGGGTACCTGAACTGGCCTTGCCCTGTAGTCAGATCAATGAATATCTTAGATATCACCATAGAATCTTCATCCAGCAGCTGATAGAAATGGAGGCAGAGACCCACAGCGATCCTGATAGAGAACTCTCTGCTACTTTTGCCAGCTCTATGTCTGCCTGTGTGTTACCATGCACCTACCATGATAACTGACTGAAACTCTGAAACTGTAAACAAGCCCCAATTAAACGCTTTCTTTTATAAGAGTTGCTGAGGTCATGGTTTCTGATCACAGCTATAGAACAGTGACCAAGACATCATAACCAGGGAGCATGTTAGCAGGCAGGCAAGCAAGCAGCCAGGCATATTAATAGGGCAGTAGCTGAGAGAGAGAGAGAGAGAGAGAGAGAGAGAGAGAGAGAGAGAGAGAGAGAGAATGACATGGGATTTTGAAACCTCCAAACAGTTCCAACTGTTTGGAAACATGAGTCTATGAGAACCATTCTCATTCAAACCACCACAGGGAGGAACTGTTCATTTTAGCTTATGGTTTCAGAGAATCTCAATCCATCATAGTCAAAGGCTCTTCGCATCATGGTGGGACAGAAAGACTCAGGATCAGGAGCCAGGCATTACTTCCAGAGGCCCATTGCAAGGATTTAAGTGGCAGAAGATACCTTGGCAGGGTGGAACCAAGGGGCATCATAAACCCACACCAGGCAAGAGATCTGGGGGTGGGGGTCAGAGGCTGCTTCTGAGCAAGGGTGGGAGGGGAAAGGGAACATGGAGAGAGAGAAGGACCTGGCTTTTTATAAGGGGACTTAGCACATGCACGTAGGGAGAATGCGTGACTCATAGAGAGTGCGTACCTGAAATCCCAGACTCATAGAGACGGTGGGACTGCGTCGTATCTTGGGGGCTGATGACACTCATCCCTGAGGGCAGGCCGGTGCAGTGCCTGATTGCTAACACCCTTGCTTGCTGACATATTAGCCAGGCCACCTCCGGAACTCTCCTTATGTTTAGTTGGCACAATGCCCTTTTGGTGGGCAGGAAGCCCTGGGTTTGATCCCTAGAACTACAAAAACTGGGCAGAGTGGTGCATGAAAAGTTTCCGCACCCCAATAAACCTCTCCGCTGATGCAATAGTCCAAATCAGACCAAATCAAACCGAATTAGAGAAAGCCCAGGCTTAATGGACACAAATGCTCCTGGATGGCTTTCTGATCCCCCAGAGAGGAGATAGGGCAGGGTGGGGGTGGAGGGCACTAAAGAAGACCTGAAGACCACGCCCTTGTTCTCTGGAGGGCAGTTTAAATAACCTGTGGAAGTGGTCTTGAGCCTCTCTGGGGAGGGGTCAATGTTTGGTGGACTTTCTCAGGGGTGGAGTCTGGACTGAGGCAGCTCCAGGGGAGGGGGTTTGGGGTGGAGCTTCCACCCAAACATTCCAGACTCTTTGGATGTACGGATGCCAGGGGCTGGGGTGAGGCTTCCATCCAAAGAGTGCCTACCTGAAATCCCAGCATTTAGGAGGCTCAGAAGTTTAAGGTCATCCTAAGCTACATATCAAATCAGGGCCAACACGGGATATGTGAGACCCTGACTCAAAAAAACTGAATAAACAATAATAAAAAAGCAAAACCAGACATACACACTCTGAAGAGTTGGGGGAGGCAGTAGCAATACAGTAAACTGAGATTGCTTTCGTTTCTGTTAGCCTAGAACACTGCATTTCACTTCTGGGAATTTCCCCCACAGCAGATTAATGCAAAACACTCCCCACTTCTTATGCCTCCCTCCATATTAACTTTCCAAAGTTCTTTTCCATACCTTCCATCAAGACATGGTTTCACAAAGCTGAGCTAGTCTGCTTCAGTCGTTAGAATACAGCAGAAATGGTGACAGAAGAATTCAAGCCAGACCTTCCCAGGCCTTGCTTGCTTCAACTTGCCCTCTTGGAAGCCAGCCAAGGTGAGTCTATTGGTAAATTAGACCCTGTGGGAAGAAAAGACTCCCTGTCACGGTGGAGGCATCAAGACCAGCCCACAGCCAGTTGACTCTCAAGCATGACAGACAACACAGGACAACATCAGCGGAAATGTTTCTCAGGTTCACAGACACCTGAGAGACCCAGCTCAGGTTACAGCTACAGCAGCTGGCCAGCTAACTCATCGGCAGCAAGAGGAGCTGCATTTTGTGTCATTGAGGTGTTGTGGTTGCTTGTTATGCAGAATTGACTGTGTTTGGATTCTCTGGGAACTAGTCGGTTGATTGAACAGGAGAGCAACGGGGTTGGTGGAGAAGAAAGGCTGCAATAAGAACAAAGGAGCATTCTCATCACTCCCTCTACCTGACAGGGCCTCCGCTAGTCCAGCTGGAAGGTCTAGAACAGACAACCACACTCCGCTCTAAGCGCTCATAGCCAGGCCTTTGAGTATCTGCTTGGCTCTGCTGGCTGAGTTGTCTGAAAGCTGAGGCACTCACAGCTGCAGGCTGAAGGCCTCCAGCACCCTTTGTGCCTGTGGAAATGGCATTTCTTTTCAAGTCAATGTCCTCATTTTGTTTTGTTGTGGTAAGATTTTATCATGCAGCTCAGGCTGGCCTTTAACTTGCTATATTGCCTAGGTTAGAAACAACATATCGTTGGGCTTGGTGGCACACACCTTTAGTCCCAGCACTCATGGGGCAGAGGCAGGCAGGTCTCTGAGTTCTAGGATAACCTGATCTACAGTGGGAGTTCCAGGACAGTCAGGGCTATGCAGAGAAACCCTCTGGGAAACAAACAAACAAACTCGTGATCCTTCTCAGACTCCAGTGTGCAGGGAATACAGGCACACACTTCCATGCATGGCTCCATTTTATTTGCCTTCTGACACTAAGTATTGAATCCAGGACCTCATGGATGCTAGGTTTCACCCCAGAACAATACATTTTTACTTAAGGAATTTCACATGTAATTCTCTCCATGGCCCATCAAGGTCGTTTCCGTTCATCTAAAACTCGAGACACGATTTGTCTTCACGACTGCCCTTTTTAAAAGAAGGAATCCTAGATTCACAGTTGTTCACAGCCTTACACAGTGATAACACCCAGATAAAGAGATGATCATCCATAAATCAAGAAAGTTCTGGAGTCAGCCTACTTCAGCTCCCAAAATACAAGCTGCCTGGTCATTAGTAACCCAGAAGGGATGCAATGCAAATTAGCTAGACAAAGATCTGTGAGGCTCTCTACACATCTAGGCATGCACTATGAGAATCTGAAATACGACTCCAATCTCGTTCTGGACGAAACAGCTATTAGAAAATCACACATGGCGTCCACTGTGTTTGTACTCCTGATTGGAGTGCCCAATCAGGCAACCGGCAAAAGCCAGTGGTGGTTTTGCTATAACTTGACTCTTTTGAAATAGTCTTGCTGTGTAGCCTGGGCTGACCTTGAACTCTTGGTAATCTCCCTGCCTCAGCCTTGCGAGAGCTGGAGTCACAGGCGTGTGTCATCATGCCCACCTTCTGTAGCCGTTCAGTAAAGGATTCATAAAATGTTCCCAATAGGCTGATCACTGGCAAGGCAGGCAGAAACCTAGTGGGTAATTTTTTTTCATGGTGCTGTCCACAACAATTGAGAAAGAGTTCCTAAACCTTGCTAACGACCAAGCAAGTCCTTTCTTGAGGGGACAGCTGAGTGCTACAGTTGTCTGTCTGTCAAGCTATTTATCATACAAGGCAAATCCACTTTCCGACGTGTCTAGGGGACACGACTTAGAGTGTGCTCTCTCCACTATTCACCCTCAATTCCTTTTGACCTCAGCTCCCTCATCCGCTAGTCATAGCAGCTTACCAGGGTTTGACTCATTCATAACTGGGTTTTCATAGCCTGGTGGGCACATCTTTCTTGGGCTGAGCTGCTTTGCTTGCCTCTTCTTCATAGCTATGACTCATCAAAGGAAAGCAGGGAAACAAGAAGCCCTAGATGGATCTTCTCAAGTTCTCTTCTTAATCTTCTCGGGAACATTGTGTCAAAGCAGCCTCTCTTCCCACTGACGACTGCCCTGGTACCATCTCTCTGTGCACCTGCTGCTCCCTCACTACAAGAATTCAGATGACCAGATGGCAGGTATAGTTTTAATTTGACTGGACCCTTCTGCATCTATTGGTGAGACTATACACTTCTGTGGATCAAAGAATCTCTAATCATATGTGGGCCACAAAACTAAAAGTCCCAGTGGGTCACTGGAAGCGCCTCCTCCCCTCCTTCATCCTAAGATCCATGCATACTTCTGATTGATGATAGCGAACCATTTGAAGGCCTCTGCATTCCAGAAGACTAAGCCCTATCATCTCTGTGTATTACCTCTGACTTTGCACTTCAGCTGTGTTGTGTATGTGTGCCTCTTCTGTATGTATACACACACATGAATATCACAAATATATATATATATGTATATATATAATGCACACACACATATATGTGTATATATATATGTATATATGACACTAGATGCATAATAGAAAACTTTTAAAGGACAAGTGTTAGCTCCTCCATCAGAAACAAATCTATAGAGCACATGAGCATAAAATCCAAACCTTGCAGAATGAAACTCATGGAACAAATAAAAATGAGGCCTATCTTGAAAAACCAAGACCAGGGCTCTTAGGAACTATAGCTTTAGGTTCAAAATATAATAAAATATCTTCGAGTGTCAAAAATGAAGGGGCTTTCCTGAGAGAAGGCCACTTTTTTTTTCCAAACCTCCACACATCTGAAAATGAAAATGTTCCCTTCCTTCGTTCCTTCAGTTTTCTCCAATCTCTTTCTCCGGACTTCTCCTCGTCACTCTGATTTTCCTAACTGCAGCACTTCCAGCTTTGCCACCTGTAAAATGGGAGAGTGTCCACTATCTCACGAGGAGGTGTTGAGATGAAAAGGTGTGAATGTGCTGTGTAAGACTGCTGTGGCTGCTAGCGCTGTTGCAGCCTTAGTGGTTTGCTCAACAGAAATTTGTGGCCTCACAAGTGTGAGGGCTGGGCGTCTGAGATAGTGCCAGAGGGAAAGTTGGCTCCTTCAGAAAGCTCCAGGGTTTCACACAGTTCCTTGACTACAAACTTGATTTGGCCTGTTCCCTGTGTGTGTGCCTCTATGACCAGATGTCTCTTTTCTAAAAGACAGCAGCCATATTGAATTAGGAGCCCACCCTACTCCAGCATACCCTCATATAGTTACATATATAGAAACTCTAATCTCAAAGTCACACTGCACGGTACTAAGATGCTAACAGGAATTTTAAGGAGCCTCAACTCAACATATTCCATATGTAAAACAACCAGAACAACTCTTGGCATAGAGGAGGCACTATGCACATCTCTGTTCTTTATTGAGTATGTACTACTATAGTTTGAATCATCTATATCCCAGAAGTCTCTTGTGCTAAAGCTTGGTTCCTGGATTATCATGCTATGTAGGTGGGGCTTACTGGAAGTTAAGTCATGTGGGGCATACCACTAAAGGGCATCCTGGCTCCTCAGCCACCCCTACTGTCCTTCTCATTTTACTCTCCAGCCACAAAAAGATAAGCATCTCTCTCACACATTCCTACCAGGATGTGTTATTATGTGCCATCATAGGCCCAAGGCAAGAAAAACAGCTGATTAGAAACTGAAATTTCTGAGACTTTGGACTGAAACAAAACCCTCATCTTATATTTATTTTCTAGAACATTTGTAGCAGTGAATCAGACGTGGGTCTATTCTCCATTGAGTCAAGATAGTGGATGATCAACGGTCCCAATTTTCTCAGGACTAGTAAATAATGTGTGGGAATAAGAGATGTTGGGATACAGGGTTTTCAGTAACCACAGAGAAGTCCCAGAAAATAGGACTAGTCCTTTCCCTCAAGATGAACAAGATTGAACAGAGTGGACAATTAAGGAAACACCAGGGAAACAATGTAGCAAAGACTGCTATATCCCCCTGTGCTTGTTTTCTCCTCTTTGTTTGATGTTCATGAATAATCAGGCATGATAGTACATGTCTCTCATCTCAGCACTTAGCAGGCTGACTCAGAAGGATCTCAAGTTTACAGTAGGGTATATAATAAGAACCTGATGTAAATAAATAAACAAAATTTCCAGCACCCTATGACATCACCTATAGCCACATGACTAAGCTCTGGCCAGTAGGAAATGGCATAAGATTTTAGAGAATCATTTAGAAAAATGAAATGGAAGAAACATACTCTCACTCATCCATTGCCTCTCTTGACTAGTACTTGTATGTAATGGAAGCCAGAGTTTGAGGAATTAAAGGAAGCCTGAACCCTTGATCATCATGGGGAAGAAGCAGAGACCTCACCTTCTACATGACATTGATTTTTGTAAGAAGGAAACTTCTACTTTTGAAAGCTGTGTACTTACTGCAAATCAAACTAATGACTTTAAAGGGTCATGAAAGGTGTTACATGGGAAAGGGACATTCTGAACAACAACAACAAAAATGGTACATGTTACAGCTTCAACCAAAAGAGGCATAGCTTCTGATTTCAGTAGAGTAGATAAATTATTATAAAAGATCCCTCCTAAGTTAAAGGAAATCTCCAGGGGCTAGAAATGAATGAGGAACCACAGTGTTAAAAATAGTTGACACACAATGCTGCTGCTGCAAATGTTTTACACAGCTTAGCTCATTCATTCCTCACAATCGGCCTACGAGATAGACACTCTCTGTCCCTTCAGTTTACAGGAAGGCAAACTGACTCAAAGACTATAGAAGACAACACAGAATGGATAGCCAGCCAGAATTCTAGACGGGACAAGAGAAAAGGAGTAAGGCAAGGAGGCCCGTGAGAAGTAAGTGTGATGGTAAATCATTTGCTTAGCGTGCACGAAGCCCCGGATTTATCCCCAGCAGAGAGAGGATAATGATGGGAAATTATCTAAGACAATACAAATCATGGACTTTCAGGTTAATGAGATAACACATATCAATTTGATTTCTAAAATACCGATACAAAATAGTAGTTAAATATACATAAGAGTTGGCACTATCCTAACTACAGTCTATAAATTATATTTTGAATCTCTCTCTCTCTCTCTCTCTCCCTCTCCCTCTCTCTCCCTCCCTCCCTCCCTCCCTCTCTCTCTCTCTCTCTCTCTCTCTCTCTCTCTGTCTCTGTGTGTGTGTGGCTGTGTGTAGCTGTGTGTATAGAGGTCAGAGGACAACTCCTGAGAATCCATTCTCTCCTTCCACCTGATGGGTCCTGGTGCTCTAACTCAGGTGGACTTGACAGTAGGTGCCTTTACCTGCTGAGCTGTCTCACCAATCCCGGATTATTCAGCCTTTTCAGCAACTCTAAGGAACACCTGACACAACACACACACACACACACACACACACATAAAAGTAAAAGAAAAATTTTAAAAACAAACAAACAAACAAAAAAAGTTGGGATGCTTTTTAATCACTTCTTTGAAAAATCTTTGGTGCAAAGCTACGAGCTAAGGATATTTGGGTGCAGACCGAATGGCAGTTGAAGACACAGGCCTCCTCATGATCCAACAGAGCTTTCTGTGGCGATGGCGGTGCTGTTCTGTGTCTACACTGTCTGGCAGTCACAAGACACACGTGTGAAATGTGACTAGTGCAACTGAAGAACTAAACTTTACAGTTTATCTACCTTCAATAAATTTAAACTTAAATTTAAGTTCCTTCAAGTGATTGATGGCTACCGTACCATATAGCATGAGTTCAATGAAGACAAGTGAACTCCCCTGTCCTCGCGCCCTTACACGGAGATAGCTGGGAGACTCCCAGTTTTAAGTAAGAAAAACCAGTGAAGTGAAGCTGTTTCTTAAACCCGGCATCATCGAAACGGCCACTAATTAGCTTTTAATTGCCAATAAAGAGCTGTGTATACTTCTTATTTAAACTATTATGAAGAATAATATGTGTGCAGTGAATATAGGGATGTCTAGAGTTCAGAAATGGGAAAAGAAACCTACAAAGTTCTGAGATGTTTCAGTTCAGCTTGGAGGTGAACGGAACAAGGCAGATGTCCATCATGCCTCTCGAGGAACATGTTACAGTGGTCCTGTCAGATGCTACCCACAGTTTGCTGAAAGGAATAACCAAAGGGAAGGGATTGCCTATGTTATTTAAACGTATTTTAACGTTATTTCCTCTAGGGCACTTAGCGGAAGACAGCTTAATTAAATGTATATTCCAAATATAGGTGTTTATACTAACAAAATGTTAACTTTCTGGTCATATAAAACCGTAATAGTTTTTAAAGATATATTTAAAAAACTATTTTGTATTATATTAATTTTAAATATGTCTAAAATAAATATTTATATATTAATTTTTTGTTTGTCTTTCTGTTTTTCAAGACAGGGTTTCTTTGTGTAGCCCTGTGTGGTAGTTTCAATGTAACTGTCCGCTCATAAGTTCATAGGGGGTGGCACCACTGGGAGGTGTGGCTTGTTGGAGTAGATATGGCCTTGCTGGAGGAAGTGTGTCACTATGGAGGCGGGCGATGAGGTGTCATATGTGCCCTAACCATGCCCAGTGTCTCAGACTGCTTCCTATTGCCTGTGAGTCAAGATGTAGGACTCTCAGCTACTTCTCTAGCAATATGTCTGCCTGCACACCACCATGACAC